ATCCTGAAGGAAATCCTGTCACTTGCACTTACAGGCAGCAGTTCCCCCACCTCTGTTGGTCACAAAAATGCCTTTTTTAGACGGGACTTTCCCCGAGTCCTGGTAATCTGGTGATTTACATGGGTTAAAGTGAGCTGAAGTAGGTTTTTCCCTCACACACAGATGAATTAAAACATGGAATCGTTACCTCGGAGCTTCACGGGTACAATATAGGGACACGTTACGAAAAGACGAGCGTAATTTATATGATATAAAGTATATAGAGATATATTTTTAAAAGTCCTCTCCCTTATTGCATAGTTTATTGAAACCATTGTGTTTCTGGCCCCGTTCCCTCTCACCACTGCTGCTGCCTGTGTCCTCTCAGCCTCTCCTTCCCCTCAGACCCCAGAACTGTCCAGAATCTTCTCTCCCAGGTCATGATGTGACCCCTGAGCTTCTGGTGATGCTGTTTTGGTCCCTTTGTCAGCCCCCAAACCTGGGGCTAGGTGCTGCCAGCGGGTGACTGCCAGGTCAGGGGTGTGGCCTGGTTGGTGACCTGCTGTGATGGCACTGGGCACCAGTGGGGTTACAGCACTGGGCAGCTGGGGTGGGGATATGGCAGTGGGTGGATGGAGGGGGGTACAGCACCAGGCAGCAGCAGGACCTCTACAGGTGCCATTACCAACAGAAAGGTGGCTTGTGCTGGTGTGCAGACCTGGCAGCAGGGGCTCTCTGAGGTGCAGGGATCCCTTCCCACCCTATTGGGGTTCCTCTCAGCTGGTTTGGTGGGGCCTTGGCCCGGTGCCTCCCCTTCCCTCGGCACCGTTCTGCCTTGAGGTGACAGAGCAGGAGCTGGGCCAGGCGGTGCTGGAGCTGAAGTTACCAGAGCCAAATGAAGAACAACTTGTTCTGAAGGGCTGGTGCTTCCACAGCATCCCACGTGGAGGCTGCAAAGGCTGTGTGGAGCATTCAGCTAGTTTTGCCAATTCTTGTTACTTTATATGAAAACGCAACTTTTTAAAAAAGAATCTTTTCTTAAAATCTGCTTGATCTGCTGCGCAGTGCCTGAGCCCGGCTGTTTAACTTTGGGATTCCCAGGATTTGTCTGCAGGGACTTAAAGCCTGGGATGGTAACAGCAATGCCCAAACACGAGGCAAAAATCATCTCAATTGCCTGTCAGCAGTCCTGGCAGGTCAAGTGAGTTTCAACTGATCTTGTTGCATTAAAAACCTGAGTTACACCATTGCTTTCTCTTCTGCCATTAATTTTACGAAGTAGTAACTTTTTACTTCCCTGTTTTTATTATTTTTCTGCACTCCAAAGGCTGTTTACAGCTGTGGTATCTTTAAAGTGTGGGCACTTGGCCCCACCTCTGCTCTCTCACAGTTCACCATCACGTGCGTTTGTGTCTCTTTTTTAAGCTAACAATAAAATGTATTTATTTCAGTTCAGGTTGTGTTTGGAACTGGCTAATCTCTCCCTCTGATGGATTATTTATTAAACTGCTGCTTTCCTGTTGTGTCAAAAGTCTCTGTCCTTATTCCTCTCCATCACCAGTGGTACCAGGCAGCTTCTGCCCAGAACATAAATTCCCCTTGAGAATTATGTGAAGATGTGGGATGGGTTTGGGGGAGCTGGGTCGGGGCTGCCAGTCTCTGCACCAGCCCAGGATGGGAAGCAGGTCCCTGGCTCCTGACTGGTGTCGGAATCTGTGCTATTGATGATCCCGAGATTGTAGAAAGTCTCTGTCTTTCAGCCCCACTGCCAAAGAAGAAGCCATAATTTGTCTGTGCTGTTTCAAGGCTGTTTATTCTGTTTATCTCTAACATGTTCTGCTGCCCTGCCGCAGCTCTGTCCTGCAGGGCAGCGTGTGGGGCTCTGCCCTCAGTGGGATGGTACAAACATTAAATACCACAAACTACCTGTGCTGGATTTACAATAACGTGCCAATATCTGTCACCTACGTTGGACAGTGTGTCCCCAGCCTGAACCAACAGAAAAATGCCAACACCACAGTGAAACATGGAGGGCATGAAGAAGGAGAAAAAGGACAAGGCACACCCAATTTCCTCCATCTTGTCCCCTTTGGACCCCTAATCTAGAATCCAAAATTTCTGCTTTTGCACCCGTGCCACACTTAATTATTACTGATATCAAACACTCAGAGCTTGTAATTCATCCTGTAAGATTGAAAACTCTTTTCCATGGGCAGAGATCACAGCCAGTGTCTCTGGGGGCTCTGTCCAGGGGGGTTCCTGACCCCAGCCAGGGTCCCAGACCTGCCAGGGCAGCCAGAGGGAAGCCCTGGATTCCCACAGCCTGCCCCACTGGAGCCTCTTCCTGGACTGGTTTTTAGTAGCCCCGACTCTATTGTCTTAATTTTTCAGCCAGGCCTAATTTAGATCTTATCTGACTCATTTAAGCACTCTGTGGTGGCTGAGGATGGTTGTAAGTGACTAATATAATCCCAAAAAATATAACCACATCCAAGCCAGCTCTGGGATGGAAAGTGGTGCTTGATGGATGGTATCCTGGAAACATGAGCTCTTACACAGCCTGTTGCTTCTGTATGTATTTCCTCTAGACTGGAGCTAGCTTTTGTTTTGTTGTTTCCATCTTTAATTGAGAGAAAACCTCCAACTTGTCCCACATGAGCTCGCTGGAGAACAAAGGGCAGGTGTTGCAGTGCAGGATGTTGTTGACCACGCTATCCCCTGGTGTGGTGGCTGCTGGGGCAGTGGCAAAGCCTTGTCCCTTCTGGTGGCAGCCTGGGGCCAGACCCCAACCCGAGGGGCTCCAGGGGTATCCTGTGCTGGAGCCAGCACTCGTCCCTTGGTGCTTTGTGTCTCCACACTGAACTGTTTTGTTTCCTGAGCAACATCTCTGGACAAAGTATTGTCCTGCGGGAGGAAGCACAGTCGGCTTCCAGGAAAGGTGTTCAGGCCCGAGTCTGGAAATTCAGCGTTCCCTTCGTTCCTTCAGAGGCTTCCTGTGGGCTGCAAAACACTGCTGGTGAGTAAGCTTGCTCCTTCTGCCCTGTGCACACAGCCTGGTGCTGTCCCTGTGCTCCTCTGGGCTGGGGGAAGCTCTGAATCCGTGCAGGACAGGGCCCAAGCAGGTGGTGGATCCTCTGTGACAGGCACATTCTTCTCTCTCTCAAGATTTTTTTTATAGAAGAGCACAAAGAGAAGAAAGAGAAAACAATTTCTATTTCTGCTCCTTGTTTTTCCCATGTGGAATATGTTTAGAGAATTGTTTACCTGGGGTGAGTGCTTGATTAGATTCTGGTGAGGATTGTTTGAACCTGATGGCCAATCCAACCCACCTGGGGCTGGACTCTAGAGAAAAGGTCACAAGTTGTTAGTTAGATATAGTAGTTAGAAAAATAGGTATGTAGTTTTAGTATCTCCTCTAAATAGTATATTAATGTAATCTAGTATAGTTATAATAAAGAAATAATTCAGCCTTCTAAACTAGAGTCAAACATCATCATTCCCACCGGGTTCACCTATATTTACAATAGGTTTACTACTCAGGGTGAGCAAGAGCTGCCCTGGGGGCTCTGCCACGTCACTCTGAGCTGCCCCAAGTCCCCTGAGCTGTCCCAATTCCCCTGACCAGCCCCTGGCTCTGTGGAACTGGAGGATTATCAGGTTTCCATGACTCCAATTTCCTCTGGGTGGCTGAGGCAGCTCTGGGCACTCCGAGCCCCAAAACAAAGTACAGCACAAGGCGTGGGGCTTTCTGGTAACTGCTAATTTCTTGGGGTCCAGGAAGGTCTGGGGAAGCTCCTTTTGAAGATGAGGTGGTTCCATAAATGCTCAGCTCTCATTCAGACACTGATTCAGGGGTTTTCTCATCGCACCGGTGCCGCAATCAGGGTTGTGAGAGATGCAAGTGAAACCCTGGCACCACGTGTGTGTCCTCAAGGCTCCCAGACACATTTCTGGGAAGAGCCTGGCAGGGTGGGAGCAGCCCTGGCCATGGCTTGTCCCAGGTTTGGGCAGGGAGGCTCTGGTGGCTGCTGGAAAATCCGGGAAGCGGCTCTGTTAACACAGGATGGAAGGAACAAAAACCCCAGCATCATTAATCACCTGCTTCGGCTGAGTGTGCACATTTGGTGGGAAGTGTTTACAGAGCACTTTCCTTGCTCAGAGGCCTCCTGCACCCTCAAGAGAATTAATGGCATGACCTTCTGAAAGGATGCCTGGCATGCCCAGTGCACGGAGCTGCCTCTCAGAACAGTTTCCAGATGGGAAATGCCCAGGTCCTGTGATGACACTGGGTGCAGAGATGGGCACGTTCCTCCCTCAGCCCTTTGGGACCTGCCCCAGCCTTGGCTGCAGCCTGGCAGGGTGGGATGGGGCAGAACAGGACTCATCCCTCCACGGGGAGCTGGGCAGGAAGGAGGGAGTGAGCCAGGCCAGATGCTGAGGGCCTTGAGGCTGGATAATGCAGGGTGTGCAACACCTTCTCTGTGGTGACACTTTCTCCATCTGTACCACAAGACTGACCCTCACAGGAACACCTGATTCCATCCCTGAAAACAGCCTTTTTAAGGAATAAACAGGAATAATCAGCTCGCCAACAGGGCTGACCACGGGTCGTGGCTGTGCTTTTGGGGCAGGGGCTCACAGGGCCCTTTCCACAGCTGTGTGTCCCCAGCAGCTGTTGGGGTCATGGAAAGGCTGGTTTGCCTTTGGGGGAGTGATGTAGGCTGCCAAAAACAGGGATATAGCTGGATCTGAGCCACATCCTGGAGTGCAAGTGCCTGTGCAGGGCTCCCCGGTGGGTGATGGGGGCCCCTGCAGCCACACGGGGACCCTTTGGGACAGGGATTTTCCCAGGTTTGGGGGGGCTGCCAGCTTGGCCGTCGGCTGGGTGTTGTGCAAGAGCCGAGCCTGGAAGAAAATCATAAACCTCCCACTGGAAATACCCCTTGGGCGGGAAGTTGTGGAGGTCCTGGGGCTGGTGCTCGTAGGGGCGGTTCCTACAGGGCTTAAGAAGGGCTGAGGCTGGAGCCGGCGGCCAGAAGGAGACAGCCCCGGCCAGCGCTCCCTGGAAAGGGGGAAGGAAGAAAAGAAAGGAAAACCAACCCCGCTGTTGTGGGGGATGGAGCCGGGTCCTGTCCTTCTCCTCCTCGGCTCGCTGTGGGGCTGCAGCGGTGAGTGCCACGGGGCCAAGAGCCACCCTGATCCCCCAATTCCCCCTGTGCTGCTCTCCTTGCTTTGCCCTACAGCCCCAGGACCTCGCTGTCGCTGAGCTGTGACAGCCACCCTGTCCCCACGTCGCTGCTGTCCCCTCCCCTGAGCCTGCGCTTTCCTCCTGCCCAGGTCGCCCCGCTGACAGGCTGGTGGTGACACCGCAGCAGCCGCTGGTGCCCTTTGGGGGCTCGACAGACCTGAACTGCTCCTTGGCCTGTGCAGGGGGCAAGGTGGACTGGAGGGGGCTGGACACCGCCCTGGGGACCATCTCCTCCTTCTCCACCCACAGCATCCTGCACATCAGGCACGCCACCGTGGCCACGGAGGGCACCAAGATCTGCCAGGGCAGCTGCCACGGGCAGCACTACCAGGCGACCGTCGCGCTGAAGGTCTACGGTGAGCGCTCCACAGCCTCCCAGCACAGCCCTGGAGCCCCAGGGCAGCCCCTTTCCTCCTGAGCTATGCTGTGCTGCCAAAAATCACCCTTGACTCCTTTCCAGCCCTCCCAGACACGCTGAGGCTGGAGGCAGCTCCCCACGTCCTGCGCCCGGGACACGCCGCCAACCTGACCTGCTCGGCCGTGCGCCTGTACCCTCCCACCGGGCTGGGCCTGGCCTGGTACCGGGGGCAGCAGCTGCTGCAGAAACCAAACGTGGACTGCGAGGAGGAGGCTGAGGAGGAGCTGTGCAGTATCGTTTCCACCCTGTCAGTGACAGGGACAGAGGTGGCAGAAGGGGTGGAGTTCAGGTGCGAGGTGACGCTGCAGGTCGGGCAGGAGACCTTCACCAGAGTGGCATCTCTGGTGGCAAGTGCTGAGGGTGAGTGCCAGGAGGGGCTGGGACCCCAACCCGCACGTACCCCATCCCCTGGAGGCAACCCCCAGTGCCCTGTGCTCCTCGGAATAGCTCTGCCAAGCAGCAGCAGCAGCCACTTCTGCACCACTCCCAAATCTCCCATCCCCATCCCTCTCCCACCTGGCAGTGCCCCTTTGCTCCTGCTCGCTGTGCCCAGGGACTGGAGGACCTGTGACCAAGGCCTCTGTGTGTTTGCAGCTGTGGTGGAGCAGCCAGCATCCGTGGCCACCTCCACGGGGAGCCCCAGCACAGCCAGGCCCGTGGCCACCACAGCACTCCCTCCAGGGAGTGTCCCTACAGGTGATGCCACCACAGCACGGGAGCCCAGCGCTGGGAGCACTCTGGCTGCTGTCACCAAGCCCCCTTCCATGGAGCCCTCTGTGCCCCAGGACCTCATGGCAGGCAGCCCCATGGCCACCAGCACCCTCCCTGGCTCTGGCACAGCGGTGCCAGGGCCATCTGTGGGGACAATGCCCGCCTGCAGCCTGCAGATCTGGTCGCTGCCTCCCACCGGGACGCGGGGCAGGGCCCTGCGCATCGAGTGCCAGGCCCGGTGCACCGGGAACGCCACGGTGGGCTGGCTCCGGACCCCCGCAGCCCTCTCGCAGTACCGGGAGGAGTCTGAGGGCAGCAGCTCCGCGCTGCGGCTGGACCGCGCCGAGCCCTGGCACCAGGGCCACTACCAGTGCGTCCTGCTCGGCCAGCAGGCCCAGATGGCCAGCCTGGAGGTGATGGTGCTGGATGGTGAGTGATGGTGTGAGTGGATGTGAGTGCTGGATGGTGCTGGTGATCTGCAGACCCCTGCCCACATCGCTGGGGTGGGGCTGCAGCCCCTCTGTCCCTGCCATAGTTGGAGCTGGGGGTGCCATGGTTTAGTTGAGGTGTTGGGGGTATGGGTTGGACTCGATGACCTTGAAGGTCTCTTCCAGCCCGGTGGTGCTGTGAATTCTGTGATTCAATCACCCCTCGGCACTTCCTGCCCGGGCTGCAATAACAGCCCCGTGTGTTCGCAGATTCCTCCAGCTCCAGCTCCATTGCGATGGGGACAGCGGGATCGCTGCTGGGGCTCATCGTGACCGCTGCCGTGTCTCGCCGTCTGTGGAAACGATTCAGATCGCGGTAGCAGCTGCCCTGGGAGCGGGAGCCGCCGGCTGGCGGCCCGGCCCTCCAGCCGTGTCCCCGCTGTCCCCGGCTGCCGCTGGCCTCGCCCGGGCCCTGGCCAGCAGGAGGGCCGGCAGGGCGAGCAGCTGCATCAGGAGGCAAAGCTGCAAGGGCAATGAGCACAGGCAGCACAGGGACTGGATCCCCGCGGGCTGGCACCGAACAGCGGGCTGGGCCCGGTGCTCGGGCACCGGCGGACGGGCGGGAGCACGAAGGCCGCTCGTCCGTCACAACAGACGGTCCGAGGCAGCCCCGGGCTGAGCGTGGGCTCGGCGGGCGGGTGGCACGGCTGCTCCAATAAAGAGCTGTTTCCGTTCGAGCCCTCTGCAAAGTGTTCTTTGGGCCTGGGCGGCCCCGGTCCCGCGGCCCTCACCGGCCCCGGGACACCGGCGGCGTCCGCCCGGTTGCCAAGGGCGGGGCACCTGCCCGCAGTAGACATGGCGACCGCGGCGCCAGCCGCGTTGATAACGCAGCTCCTTTGCCCACACTCAAGATGGCGGCTGAGGCCTCGCCCAATGGCGGCGTTCTCGCACCGCCTCCCTGCCCACCGATTGGCTGCCAGCGTGCAAGATGGCGGCACAAAACCTTCCGGCCCGGGCGGAAGTGCCGGTCCAAGATGGCGGCGTACGAGAAGCGGCGAGCGGCCGCCGCCCCGGTGCCGGCGGGGGGCAGCGGGCTGCCGGAGCCGGGGCGGGCAGCGCCGGGGGGCGGCGGGCCGGCGGAGGGCAGCGCGGCGGAGTTCCTGCTGCGAGCCGGCGTCACGGCCATGGTGCGGGAGGCGCTGCTCAAGGTGCTGGAGGCGCGGCCCGCCGAGCCCGTGTCCTTCCTGGCCGAGTACTTCGAGCGGCTGGTGCTGGCGGAGGCGGCGGCGGAGCCCCCGGGGCCGCCGCAGCGCCTGGCGCGGGCGCTGTGGTACGTGTGCCTGGCTCATCACTCGCACAGGTGCGGCCGGCGGCGGCGGCGGGGGGCGGCGGGGACGGGGGGCGAGGCCGCCGCTCTGTGTCTGTGCCCTGTCGCGACAGGACGGCCTTCGACAGCAACGCCGGCGCGGCCTACGAGGTGCTGGGCTGCGGCGGGCGGCGGCGGGCGGCGGGCGTGGACGGGCGGCTCTACAGCGAGCTGCTGCGGCGCATCTGCCAGCGCGGGGCGGCCCCGGCCGAGGCGGCGGCCGAGCTGCTGCGCCGCGTCCGGTGCCGCGACCACGAGGCCGTCCCGTTCGACGTGTTCCGCTACGGCGTCCTCACCTGCTGCGTGCTGCTGGAGTTCGCCGCCAAGGCCGACGCGCTGTTCGCCGTGCTGGGCGCCGGGGACTCGGCGGACAGCCGGCTGTGCCAGGCCGTGCTGCGGGCGCTGGAGGACGCGCTGGGCGCCGGGCACGGCTCACGGCCCGCCCGCTACCTGGAGGCCGGCTCCCGGCTGGGCCCCGACAGGCTGGCACTGGCCATGGACCAGGCGCTGCAGGAGAGGAAGCTGGGCTCCTCCATGAGCAGGGAGGAGTTCCTGAGGAAAGCCACAGCGCTGTTCATAGCGAAGGTGAAGCCCGTGGAGTGATGCTGGCTGGGAGCAGCGCTGGCTGCGGCCGCTGCCGGCCCTGCGGGGCCCCGCTCTGAGCTGCACGGTGAGCACGGGGCGCTGGCTGGAGAGCCCTGGTGTGCCCAACGGGAGATTCCACACTGCCTGCCCTGCTCTGATGGTGCCCAGCAGCTCCGTGTCCCTGCGTGGCTCCTCTGGCCCTTTCAGGGGTTGTCCAGGACTGATGTGGAGGCTGTGACCCACGGAGCTGCTTTGGGCAGTGAAATGACCCAGAGGAACAAAGTGTGGGGCTGGGCTGTGGCTGCACAGGGCCAGCTGGGGAGGGCTCAGGTGGTTTGGGATGTGGAGTGCAGGCTCTGGATGAGACACATCCCCTTCCCCTGGCACCAGCTGCGTGTCAGGCCAGGGGTTATTTATTTAAACTTGTCTGATCGTTATTTATACTGTTCAATTCCTGATTTGCTGTAAGACATTAAAGCTTTTCTATTATTTTTTTAGTGGCCAGTTTCTTACCTCCTGGCATCATGAAGTGCCAGAACGAGCTGTAGGAGTGCCCAGATCCCTGAGGCACGCTCCGTGCCCGGGGTTTAGTGTTGACAGCGGGTGCAGGACTGTGGAACAACCCGAGTGGGAGGATCCCCGCGGGCTCCCACGTTGTGTGGGGCGGATGTTCTGCTCCCTGCAGGCAGGACGCGGTGCTGGTCGGGGTGAGGCTGCGGGTGGCGGCTCCTGACGCAGACACAGCTGACGGGATGTGACACAAAGGGAGGTGCGAGCCGGGGATACCGGAGGCGGTGTTCATTCTCCCCTTTTCCCGGTGCGGCAGCGCTGTGGATTGTCACACAGCCGTGGCACCGCACGCCGAGCGGGGTTCTGCCTGCTGCGAGCCGCCCGCCGATCGGTGCGACCGGCAGCACCGGCGCCGCCCCGCGCTCTGATCGGTCAGCGACACCCGCGGGGCGGTACCGGGGGAGCCACGCCCCTCCCGGGACTCCAGCGACTCCGGTACCGCCGCCGCCGCCCCCCGAGCCCCGGCATGGCGCGGCCCGCCGTGCCCAGCTCGCAGAAGGCGCTGCTGCTGGAGCTGAAGGGGCTGCAGGAGGAGCCCGTGGAAGGGTTCCGCGTGGGGCTGGTGGACGAAGGGGACCTGTACACGTGGGACGTGGCCATCTTCGGGCCCCCGGACACGCACTACGAGGGCGGCTACTTCAAGGTGAGCGGCGGGGAGGGCTCGGGGAAGGCAGAGCAGGCGGTGTCGGGGTGTGTTTTGGGAAGGGGTGACACCCCGTGAGTGTGGGGGTCGTGACAGAGCTGCTCCCGGGCTTGGGGGGCGAGTTGAGGGTCAGGGAGAGCTGGGTACACCCCTGGTGCTTTGGGGTGGTGCGCTGGGAGCTGCTGCCAAACCACCGAGGGTCCCCTTCGCTGTGAGGAGCATTCGACCCCCTTGGAATGGCCTCAAGCACCCCCCTGTCCCCCCGCTCTGAGGGTGCGGGACAGCGGCTCCAGGTCGCTGAGGTTCCCTGTCCTGGAGAGGATCCGAGGGAAGAGACAAAAGTCCCCCGAGTGAAGGCAGAGCCAGCCCAGGGTGGGAGCGGTGAATGTCGTGGCTTGGTTTGGGGTTTGAGGTGGAAGAAGGTGTTTGGCAGCATAACTGCACAGTCCCCCCCTCCCCTCGGCAGGATGTGTGTGTGTGCTCTTCCCAGGTGTTGTGCAACTTGGGGCAGCTGTTTTCTTCCTCTTTCTCATCCTTCCTGCTCCGCGGAGTGTTTTCATCCTGTTGCTGTCAGGGTGGGGATGCACAGGGTGAGTCACCCAGGGTTAGCTGTGTTTGTTTTCCCGGGCTGGCAGAGCTGATGCTTCGGAGCCAGGTTTCATCTCTCCTCTGAAGTAGAGGGTTTTTATTTTCCCATAGCATTTTGGCGTGAGACCCTCTGAACTCTCACCTTTTCAGCCACTCTTGTTCCTGTTGTGTGCTCGAGAGCTTCCAAACTCAGCACTGAGGTGCTGGTGAGGCTGTGCAGAAGAGGAGAGCAGCGGGGCTGAGTCCTCTCCAGCCTGTGGGGACACCAGCCTGTTTATACACTGCAGGGTGGGGTTGTTGCTGTCCAAGCCCCCTTTGGCATCGCTTTGCCTTGGCCGGTTTTGTTCTGATCCCCTCTGACACAACAAAGGGGATTATTCTGCCACGTTCAGCTGTTTGGCCAGAGCCCAGCACGGGGCTGAGTGTCACTGCCCTGCACTCCACACACACACAACTCATCCCCCACTGCACTTTTCCCATCCCATGTCCTGTGCCACGGATCCAGTGTCTGGATTTTCTTCTACGTGAACTGGGGGAGCCAGAAGCATTCAGGAGTTGTCGTGTTGAGTCTTGATCTGGAAGTTTGCTCCCAGGGCCTGGAAACAGCTGAAAGCTGAATCAGTCACTGGGAATTTGTGCAGGCACACAGGGAGAAGCTGCCCCCGTCCTCTTGGATTCTGGTGCTGGTGGGTTGGGGCAGTCTCTGAGGACTGTGGGATGTTGCTGTAGGTCCCTGTGCCCCCTCAGGCTTCGCTCAGAGATGGACAGGGAACCCCTCTTTGCCCAATCTCAGCCCTGTGGGTTTGGCAGCTGTGGGAGGAGCTGGTGGTGGCTGCGTGTCCCTGCTGGAGCCCTGGGCTGCAGCCTGAGCTTCATGTGATTTTATTTTTAGCCCCCAAGCTGTGCGCTGCGGCCAGTTTGGACTGGGTCTCTTCTCAGCAGTGACAGGCTATTTTTAGATTTGGTGTTTTCATCAGAGCACCAAACACCTGATGCTTCCTTCCTGTGAGCTCTGAAGGGTAAACAGCCTTTCCTCCAGTGGCACAGCCATGGTCTGTCCCTGACAGCAGCTCTGGGGGTGACCCAGACTCTCTGCCTGGCTCCGTGTGCTGCTGTGGGGCTTGTGCTGGGTGCTCACACCAGCTCCTGCTGGTTCCTCTGCACTGGGGAGCACTGGGTTAGCACCCGTGGGCCCTGCTGGACAGGGGGGTATGGGCAGAATGGGGGGCAAGGAGCTGCTGCTGGTCACAGACCCTTTGCTCACCCCGCTCTGTGTGGTGAGAGGGTGCCCCCGGGGCCGGTGCCCTGCCCGCAGAGCTGGCTGGCACAGAGGCTCTGTCCCAGCAGGTGCCCAGCTGGGCTTGGCAGAGGTTCCTTTTTCCCAGAGCTGTCAGAAGCTCTGTGGTTTCCGTCCCTTCCTTCTCACAAGCTGGTGTTCTCATCTCCTTATTGCTCCCCTACAGGCTCGTCTCCGCTTTCCCATCGACTACCCCTACTCTCCTCCTGCCTTCAGGTTCCTCACCAAAATGTGGCACCCCAATATCTACGAGGTAGGTCCCCTGGGACAGCGAGGAGGCTCTTGGACAGTCAGTGGACACGTGTGCCTCTGTTGTGATGGCACTGGATGCAAATGCCAGCCTTTGGCACTGGACACTCCGTGCCTTTGGCGATGAGTGCCTGGCACAAGGAACGCCACTAATGAGCTCACACAGCCCTTTGCTGTCCCAGTGCAGGGTCCAGGTCAGCCAGGCTTGCAGGCCTGGTGGCTCCCACGCTTGGGGACATTGTGCCTGTGCCAAGAGTGGCTGCAGGGCAAGCGATGTGCCTGGGGCCCACAGCAGGGGCACAGCATGGTGGGCACTGGGCAGCCTGACCCGTACAGTGCTGGCAGTCATGGGGTGCTTGTCCACTTTTGTGTCCCTCCTGAGGGACTGAGTGAGGGGACAGCTTGGTCACCTCACCTGGCTCAGCCAAAGGGAAGAGCGAGCGAGAAGATCCTGGGGCAGCAGCTCCTGAGGATCCTATTTCTCTTGTGCTTGCAGACAGGTGATGTCTGCATCTCCATCCTGCACCCGCCTGTGGATGACCCTCAGAGCGGGGAGCTGCCGTCGGAGCGCTGGAACCCCACCCAGAACGTGCGGTGAGGGCTGGGGGGACACGGGCAGGAGGCTCAGCCAAGGGCAGGGGTGGGAAGGTGGGAGGATGGGGACAGCCTCCTGCTCCCAAAGCCTGCAGGAGGTGCCAGGGGGCTGCTGAAGGCTCTCAGGCTGTTGGGTGGGCTGAAGAACAGCCAGAGCTTGTGTGTGGATGAGTGTAAGCCCAACAGCCCGTGTGCTGCTGTCCCCTGCCCGGCCTGCTCCTCTTTGCTGGGCCTCTCTTGCTGTGGACAGCACAAGGCGTTCCCACAGACAGAGGGGGGCTGCTGGCACTGCTGGGGTGCTGCTGACCTGTCTCAGCTCTGACCTGCTCCTGTTTATCCACACCAGAACCATTCTGCTGAGTGTGATCTCGCTGCTGAATGAGCCCAACACGTTTTCCCCGGCCAACGTGGACGCCTCCGTGATGTACCGCAAGTGGAAGGAGAGCAAAGGGAAGGACCGGGAGTACACAGACATCATCAGGTGCGTGCTGAGCCTGGCCTGGCAGCGCTGGCTGTGCTGGGATCCTGTGGGACACGGGCTCTGGAGGGCTGGGTGCAGAGCTCTGTCCTCAACCCCCACTTCTCACCCGCCAGGAAACAAGTGCTGGGCACCAAGGTGGACGCTGAGCGGGACGGAGTGAAGGTCCCCACCACGCTGGCTGAGTACTGTGTGAAGACCAAGACTCCAGCCCCAGATGAGGGCTCAGACCTCTTTTATGATGACTATTATGAGGATGATGAGATGGAGGAGGAAGCAGAGAGCTGTTACGGTGATGAGGATGACTCCGGCAACGAGGAATCTTGATGGCCCTCTGGCATTGCAAAACTTCCTATAAACTACTGAATTTTACCTCAACTAGAACAAACTGGTTTGAATTTAGGATCTGTCAGCCCTGAAATTAACTCTCTACCTCGCAGGGAGACTGTTCTGCTGTTGCAAAGGAAATCCCATCGCTGTCTTTGTAGGAAAAGATAAACCCCCTATTTTATAAACTTCCTGGGGGATGGGTGGAGAGGGGGCATTCACAAAGCCACAGAAACTGAGGTGTTGGTGGCTCTGCCTGGCTGAGGAATGACAACCAGCCTGATGTTGGCTGCCCCTCATTTGAGTATGTTCAGCTTCTCTTCAGCCTCACAGGGTAGAAGCAGTTTGGGGCGCTTGTGGGGGTAGTGAGTGGTTGCTTTAGTGGGGGGCAGCATGTGAGTGCTGTCTTGGCTTTCAAGACCTTTTAGGGTTCACCCTGCAGCCATCTGGGTTGTCCCCACATGGTCCTTTTGCCTTCTCTGCCCATGATGCTGGAGCTGTGTTCACAGGGAGAGGGGCACCAGGGAGGACTTGTCCAGCAGCCACCAGCACTGGGCATGTGGGGATAGTGTGTTTGTGGTTTTTAACTAGCTGGGAGGGATGGGGTTATGCTGAGTATTTCTGCTTCTGGTTTTTTTTTGGACACTATTTAATAAAGTTCTTCCAGGGATGGGTTGTGATGCACGAGTGCGGTTGTGCCCAGTCTGTGCCCTGGCTACAAGGGATTTGTGTCAGACATGGACTGGCATGGAGCAGTGGGTGGTGGATGGGCTGGCTGCTCTTCTGGGGCTGCAGGGCAGCTGTGGATCTCACAGTAACCCTCTGCAGAGTGGGCAGGAGGGTCTGGGCAGGGTTGCCTCTGGTCTGGAGAGCATCTCTGCCCTTCCCAGGCAACATTCAGCCCCTCTGCCCTGGAGCTGTGGCCAACACTCAGTCTCTGCCTGGGCCAAACCCTCCAGTGCTGCATGGGGAGGGTGTTTGCCCTCTCTGTCCTCTGCAGGCAGCAGACCTGCCTGGGCAGTGCCTGCCTCTGCCCGGTGGTAGCTGATGGGTGCCCTTGCAGCTGCTCTGACCCCAGGGGGGTGTGCCCTGAGCCCGCAGACTGAACTGGCTGGGACATGCCAGCTCAGGAGGCTGCAGGGAGCTCCCCAGACTGCGCTGAGCTCCCAGCCCGGGGCGCTGCTTCGCCAGGGCAGGGCCCAGGCCCTGGCAAAGCGCCTGCCTGGGGCTCCTGCCCCTGCTGCACAAAGCTCATCAGAGGGGTAATGAGCAAAACTTCCCTCGGCTGGAGTCGTGCAAATGGGATCAGGGCTTGAGTGACACCTGGGACTGCACGCGGCGAGGGCATGTGCTTTATTGCCTTAGGAAATGAGGCTAAAAGGTGAATAGGATTATTGTCGCTTTATTCAGGCCTGGCAAATGGCTTCCAAGGTCACCCGGCCTGGCCGGTATGGAGCAGCAGCCCCGGCTGCTTGTTCACAGCCAGCTTCTCCTTCCTTTCCTGGGGGGCTGCTCCGTGCACCCCAAACCTGTGTGGCTGTGCCCATGTGCCCTCTGCCTTTGCTGGCTCTGTGTGGCCAGATCAACAGCAGCTCCTCAGCCTGCGGGTGCCATGGGTACTGCCTTCTGCCGAATTTCTGCACCATAGGAGCCGTATTTGCAAATCCCCCAGTGGATGAAGGTGAGCGGGATATGGGAAGAAATATTTTGGGAGGAGCTAGCAGCACCCTGTGGAGAGCGTGGTGGGGACTGGCGCCTATGGCCCCATTGTTTTGGCTGTTCCTGCCCAGTACCCCCGGCCGTGAGTGCTCCATGGCTGACTGGTCAAGACTTCACTCCCGGGATGGAGAAGAGTTGGAGGCAAAGCTGCCGTCCTGCAGACGCCTCTCAGCCCCAGCTCCGTGTTGGTTACTGCCTGCCCAGCCCCTCGCGGTTATCCGGCAGCTCCCGGGGCCGGGAGTGTTCCCTGCAGCTCGGGGCTGTACCGGGGACCGGGGGGACCGTGCGACCGGGGCAGCGCGGCTCGGCTGCTCTGCCCCGGCAGCGGCCCCGCGGGCTCCGCAGGAGCCATTGTCTGTGCCGGACTCCCCGCGCTGCGGAAGCGCTGCCCGGTTTCCTTCCCGCACATCCCGCTGAGGCGGCCCCGGGAGCCTCCGGGAACCGCCGGCTCCCCCCGTGACTCTGCCCACGCCCCGCGGAGCCGCATGGCCTGGGGGTGCGTGCGTGCCGCGGCTCGGCAGGGACGGACACGTGCAGACCCGCTCGCCTCCCCCGTCCCTCCCGGTCCCGGACCCGCCCGGGGCAGCGGCCGCCACCGGGGCCGCCCCGGGACCCTCGGCCCCGCCCACAACGCGCGTCCCCATTGGCTGCCCGGGCCGGTGGGCGTGGCCGGGCGGGACCGGCCCGAACCGGCTCTGCCCGCGGGGCCGGGAGAGAGGAGAAGGCGCTCGGTGTGATCTTATCTCTGATTGGTCGCGCCGGGCCGAATGGGCGGGGTCTGAGGGGCGCAGCGCCGCGCGATTGGCTGAGCGGCGGAGCGAGGGGGCGGTGCCCGGTTTGGCCACGCCTCTGCTCGGTGCCCCCGGTCGCGGTTATAGCGCGCGCGCGGCGCGGCGGGGGCGCGTGCGGAGATGGCGGCGGGCGCGGCGGGAACGCGCGCGGTCCTGGCGCTGCTCGTCGTGTGCTCGATGGCCGCCGGCGCCGCGGGGACAAGTACGGACCGGGCCGGGGTGGCTCCGGGCCGGGGGGGGCTCCGTTCGGGCGGCCCGGGATGGCGGGAGGTTGGCGAGGGCCCACGTGGGGGGCTCCGGTGGGGGTTGGACGGAGGGGTGTCCAGCGGGGACTCCGAGGGGTCTTAGCGGGATCCCAGCCCCGCGGGTGGGCGCCGGGCCGGGTCCGGGAGCGGCGGGCGCGGGGGGAGGAGCGGCGGCGCGGGCGCCTGCGGCGGGGCACGTCCGCGGCGGGCGGGGCCGGGGGAACGGAGGCGCCCCGGGGTTCTCGGGGAATGGCCGGGCCGGGCTGGGCTCGGCACAGCCGCCGGGCACTCCCGCAGCTCGGGCGGAGGATGCCCCGCCACACCGCGTACCCGCTGATCTCTTTAACCGGAGCGGCGGCGGCGTCCGCCGGTGCTTTCCGCCGGGCTGGGTCGTTTTCTCCTTAGGAAAACCGAGGAGTTTATTCCCCGCAGCCGCTTCTCCGGTTTCCGCGGCTCAGGAGCAGCAGCGGCTCGCCGGGCTTTAAACGCTAAAGATGTTCGGGATAATCCCGGGGCGGAGCGGGTCCGGTGCGGGGCGGCGGCTCCGCAGCCCCCGGTGGGCGCGGGGGCTCTTCCCGCAGGGATGAGCGGCTCTGCCCGCGCTGGGGCTCCACCGTTCAGCTTTGGGAGGAAGGAGCTCACGGCAAACCCGGCCGAGTTCTCCCGCAGCCTCTGGACCGGCCCCGGTGCACGAGGTTCGGCCGCCAGTGGCGAGCAGCTGCTCTTGGCTGTTGTTTTGAATACTTAAAACCAATTTGTAGCCTATTTTCACTTAATTCAGCATAGTACAACCGAACCTTAAGAGTGGGAGGATCCTGGCAAACCAAAGTGTGTGCTCCAATAGTTGTTTTTTTTTTCTACAGAACTGCATTTTAATTCTGCAGGGCAGAGCCGCCTTCTAAAGCTCACATTTATCACCTGCAGCTAGCCAAGTTTGCCATCCCGCTCCCTCTGTGGCGCTGAGGGTTTCCTGCCAGCTCCCTCCTGCCTGGGGACTGGCACCGGTGGATGTGGAAAAAGCAATTCTTCTCCTGGGTTTGAAAAGGCCCAGGAGTTGTGTAATGCCCGTGTCCTGCCTGGCCATGCCTGGGCTTGGTGTGGAGCCCTGCTGGTGCCCAGTGGGGGCTGGAAAGTTGGGGTTTGGCCTCTCAGCAGTGTTTAGGTTTGGCTTTATGGAGCAGGCTGGGTAGCAGCTCGCCCCATGGAGCATGGGTCAATGTGTGCCTGGACTCTGTGCCCTCGTGGGGAGGGACCCTGACTTTGACCTGGCTGTGCAAAGCTTAAGGGCAGCTTTTATAGCTGTTTTAAATGGCAAAAAGTGTTAGGTCCTCAATTATCCCCTTCCCAAAGCGAGAAACAAAGGTCAGGCCAGGCAGGAACATGGACCCAGTGGGGCTCAGCACGTCCCACTGCTGTTGACACCCCGAGGACTCCTCCCTCTGCAGGGGGAGAGGTTGTTTATAGTTTGAAGGTGACTGGAGAACGTTATCTGCTCTCTCTGCCTGTCCTGCTGGCTCAGATACCACGCTGTGCCCGGGGAAGCATCCGGGCTCAGCCCTGTGAGGAGCGCCTGGGCTGTGGGAGCTGAGCTCCACTTGCAGCCTGTCACCCTCTGGAAAATGTGGCAGCAGCCCTGATCGATGCCAGTGGGTTGGTGCTGGCCACGCTCCTGTGCCTTGGGCTCCACGGGCACTTTCCCCAGCCCAGAGAGCCCAAAGTTGGGATTTCCTGCTCTCAGCATTCTGGTGGTGACAGGGAGGGCATTAATCCCATGGGAATGCAAGTGGTACTCGCTGCTGCTGCTTGCTGGAGCCTTTTAACCTGTTTGAACTGCGCCAGGTACCCTCTAACTCGCAGCAAATAACCTTGCACGGCTTATTTTGTCAGTGCACAGTAATCACCTTGTGGCTGTAAAACCCTTGATCTTTACCAGCTCCCGCTTTAATTCGGGCTGCACTTGGAGCAGACGGGCTCCTACAAGTGCTCTGGGCTTGGCAGGGTTGGGAGTGTTTGATCACAGGCCTGTGCTGTGGAAAAAAAAACCCCTTCTGGCATGCAGGTCAGTGGTTCTGGGAGTGGAACCCAGCTGATAGCCCCATCCCATAATATCTCTGAGTACCCCTGAACCTCCTGCTCGGTTAAAATTAGTGTCTGCCTTCTCCTAAGAGTGCTTTGTCACCCCCCCATGGGGGGTCCTTTCTCTTTCAGCCATGCTTATTCTTCAGTAAGAAGTCTTTAGTAGGAAAAACTAGTTTTTCCTTTGAAAGCTGTGGAATTGATTTCTTTAGGAACCAAGCTTAGCTTACAGACTACCTTGTGTCTTTCTTGAGTCTGAGCAAACTTGGGTTTGTGACAGTGATTTGTTCCTACTCTTTACAAAAAACTGCCTTAGGATTTTTTGTTGAAACATCTTCAGGCTTTCAAAACCTCCAAAAAACTTCTCCAAAGCCCACTTCCTCTGTGCTTGTACATCATGGTGCATCCATGGAGAGTTGTTTATAATCACAAAGTGCTTTTAACTGAGCAAATTAATTCCTGGAAGGTTCTGGGGGTGCGAGCTGCCTGTTAGGACAGGAAGGATGTGTCTCAAGCTCGGCTCCTTCTGAAATCTGGCTGGGGCTGAGTCACGTAGTGACCTCCTCTTGTGCCTGATGGTTTTTCCAAAGTGGAGCTGCTGAGCTTCCCTTCCTGCCTGCCCTGGGAAGGGCTGCTGGGGCTGTGGCCACTGCCCTGGAGCCCGAGGGTGTTTGGCAGCTCCAATGCAGGGACCGACCTTTGGACTGGCTGATGCCAGACTGAGCCCTCCGGCCTCTGGCTGCAAGGGCAGAGTGAAAAATACCCAAATTCCAGCCTGCAGCTGCTGCCTGGGCCTCTGGTCTGTTGGTGCCAGTTCAGCTCTGCAGGCTGGTCTTGCCCGAGATGAAAACTC